GTGTGTGTGTGTGTGTGTGTGTCTTTCTTGCACTGGTTCTTTTTCCTATTCCTCTGTCTGTCTGTTTGTCTTTTCGTCCATCTTATTGTGATTGTGTTTCTGTAGATCTCCATTTCCGTCTCCATGAGAGTAGTCGCTTGGTACATAGTGAGTGCGTGTGGGTGAAATGTCGCTCACTGACTCACGTGAAGAGCGTTTTACGATACAGTCGCAGGAAGCAAACAAGAACGTTTCCTGTGCCGCGGTGTGTATTCTATGCGTGTGTCTCTGTCTTGCTGATTTTTTTCAGACTAAATGACCATTATTGTGTCGATGTGCTTTTCTTTACTCACAATCAAACCAGGCAGACCACGGGTCACTACTGACAGAGAAGACAGACTGTGGGTGGTTGGCGGGTGCTCTGGTGTGGTTTGATTCTTCTTTCTTATCAAACATCCATCGTTCTTATCTCCCCTTCTTTTTTCTGTGTATGTGACTCTCTTGTAACACCTCTAATCTTCGGCACTTATATTACGACCTTATTGTGTTGCAAATGCTGTAAAACTCTAACTAATACTAAATTAATCTATCGTCCTCATCTCTCCTCCTTCTTTTCTTTCTATGTTACTCTCTAGTAACACCTCTATCAAGCATCTATCGTCTTTATCACCCCTCCTTCTTTTTTGTGTTTGTTACTCTCTTGTAAGATAATCTTCAGCATTTATATGACCTTATTGTGTTGCAAGTGCCTTAAAACTCTTTCTAGAACTAAAAGAAGACAGACAGATACTGCTGTGACGTCATCTTTGAGATCGCTTTTTCTCTGAGAACGAACAGCTCTGTACGCACGTCGATTTCACACATACACTGGAAAAGAGAGAGGGAGGGGAGAGGGAAAGGGAGAAAGAGAGAGAGAGAGAGAGAGAGTGTGTGTGTGTGTGTGTGTGTGTGTGTGTGTGTGTGTGTGTGTGTGTGTGTGCCTAAAGAAAGGTCTCAGTTGTCGGCAAAGCTTCTTTTGAACAACGAGGCAAAAAGGGTAAAAAATCGTACCAGGTCAAAAAATTAGTTTCTTCAGAAAACAAACGTCTAACCATTTCATAATGACATATCGAAAGGATTTTATAGTATTTTAAGTCTAATTTTTAAAAAATAGATAATTAATGTTTCATATGTTGCTAGAAATTGGGTCAACATATTAAGGTTAGAGCCTTTTTTCTCCCAAACATTGCTTTTACAACCTGTCTTGCAAAATGTGTCATTTCTTTGAAGCTACTCAAGGTATTCGGCAAAAAATGTAATCGGCGTGTTTGTCATTTAATTTGCTACAGGAGTGTACCATGATTTCTATAACCAAAATTTCCGAGAACTGGGTCCTTTCTCCAGGCGCACACACTTTTTTAGTAAACATCTCGGTTGTTGTGTTTGGGTGTTATATCCGATTCTGCACCAGCCGACTCTCTCAGGTAGAGTGAAAGCTTCCAGCCTCCTAAATGTTTGAAGGAAACATTAAAATCTTACAGTTTAATTATTCACAATTTCTGATAACCATTCAGTTGTGAGGTTTGCACATTTACACTAACCAACAATACCATTCTTGCACCAGCGTTTGTGGTGTGGTGGTAAGGCTCTTCGCTGTCTCAAGCAGGAGACCAGAGTTCCGTTCCCATGTGGGAAGAATTCTTATCGAGTTTCTATGTCAGAATATGCAAAGGCAGCTCGAGACCGGGAAGGGTGGAGGGTCATTACACGTCAACCTCTGTGTCAGAGATGATACCTCTATAGAGAGAGGTGTTTCTGCTAGAATGTTCTCTACTTCTTCGCCCAGACAGGCATGGTCGAAGCCCACCTCCTGAATGATCTAAGGTGTGTCGCTAAAGGTGCAAAACACCTACACTGTGGGTCGTTTAGGGGGTGTGTGTGTGGGGGGGGGGGCGAGGGGGGCTCTTCTATCAAACATCTGACGTTCTAAACTCTCCTCCTTTTCTTCATATAAAACTCTCTAGTAACACCTCCCAGACTTCGGCACTCATATGACCTAAGTGTGCTGCAAGTGCCGAACAATTCTCCCCGAAGCTGAAAGAATCTACATTTAAAATAATAAAAATATTTAAATATATCTAAATAACAAAACAGTGTTGAAAGGGGCGTTAAATCTGTACCATTTTTCACATTTCACATGTACCCACCTTAGCAGTGACCGTTGCGCTCTGTAGAAGATCTGCCGGCCACAGCATCTGGACAGCCACAGTTACCGCCGTCAGAGACGTGCTCACGTGACCTCCGGCGTCAAACGATTGGTCCAGATTGTGGGAATCCCCGAAAACTCGGCGCCGAATGAAGTTATAGAGGAGAGCGAGGGCCACGGAGAAAGCTGCGAACCCAAGTATGAGGATGAGTACGGCCTCATACTGCTCGATTCTGGGCTCCACAATTCTGGGGAAAGTACAGATGGTAGGAATGTAGGCTTTTATTTTATTTTGTTTTGTTTTTATTTCTGTTAGTGTTTTACGGCTCGTGCGCAACTGCAAAAGGTCATGTGAGCGCGTAGGTCGACGTATTAAAGGGTTTTTCTCTCCACTGTTGTCTTTAAGAGAGAAGGATCTCCAACTTTCGTCATTTTTTGTTTGTTTGTTTATTTGTTTGTTTATTTGTTTGTTTGTTTGTTGAGTAAAAAGAAGTATATTGACGCAATAATGGTCATTTAGATCTAGGAGAAACTAAGGCAGACAGACACAAGCAGCTGAGGGAAATCGAAGAAGCAGGAGCTGCCCGTGGCCCTCCTTCACAAAGTTATCTCCCTCTTAGGTTGATATTTTCAATCTGTTCACGTGTCAGAAATTTTCTTTATAGAGTAGCTCTATCTGTCTGCTGGGATGTTTCATCTCTCTCTGTCCATGTTGGTTGTTACAAACAGGGTGAGAGAGCAGCCAGCTTCTTAAATGATCTAGATTGTGTTTCTGGTGGCATACACTCTTAATGATGATTACGTCAAATGGGGCGTAAGCCATAAGGAATGAAAAATGATTTCTTTTTTTAGAATGAAAACAGAACGTGAGTGTGTTCCTTCTTCCCTCAATGGTTGTTTGAAGTGAAAGCTCGTTCATCTCTTTTGGAGCGGTGTTTTGTATAATGACATAGAGACCCCTAAAGGTCGTTGACCTTTTAGGTCACAGAGGATAATATGGATGGGGAAAGATGAATACCAGAGAGAGAGAGAGAGAGAGAGAGAGAGAGAGAGAGAGAGAGAGAGAGAGAGGGAGAGAGAGAGGTAACAACAGACGGTGAAAGAGAGAGACAGACAAACAGAAAGACATTGAGAGAGACAGAAAGAGAGAGAGAGAGAACGAGAGAGAGAGAAAGAGAGAGAAAAAGAAAGAGAGAGAGAGAGAGAGAGAGAGAGAGAAAGAGAGAGAGAGAGAGAGAGAGAGAGAGAGAGAGAGAGGGAGAGAGAGAGGTAACAACAGACGGTGAAAGAGAGAGACAGACAAACAGAAAGACATTGAGAGAGACAGAAAGAGAGAGAGAGAGAACGAGAGAGAGAGAAAGAGAGAGAAAAAGAAAGAGAGAGAGAGAGAGAGAGAGAGAGAAAGAGAGAGAGAGAGAGAGAGAGAGAGAGAGAGAGATGTCGCGTTTGTCTTCCCCAGTCCAACTCCATCGTACAGAGTGTGATAGATATTCGTGGCGAACTCCACCTGACAGATCCCTGTTGTGTCAGGTGTTTTTTTCTGGGACTCTGTGTGGTAAAAATGCGTATGCGTTTAGCGCCCCCTATCAACACCATTAGGTTATTCACACTTGGGAATCGAACTCGTACCACCTCTTTGTGACGGCGAAACACCTGACGGCTACAGCACACACGCCGTTTAGTAAGAGTTTCACGTCACGTGCAACATAAATAGGACATAATATTAGTGCCGCAGATTAGAGGTGGTACCGAGATTTTTGTTTTAGTAAGAGTTTTACAGCACTAATTGCCACACAAAATATATAGGTTACATACGTGCCGAAGATTAGAGGTGTTACAAAAGGGTAACAAACACAAAAAAGAAGGAGGAGAGATCAGGATGATAGATGTTGGATAGGAACGAAGGAGCAAACAACACCAGAGCACCCACCAACCACTCACTGTTACTTAGAGTCACATACAAAGACAAGACAAGAACGAAGGATCAAACCACACTATAGCACGCTTCGGCAACCAACAGAAAAGATTTGAATGGGAAAGAGAAGGCTGCTTTGTTTTGGGGGGTTTTTCTGCTCGTTTGTTTGTTTGCTTGCTTTTAATATCTTGTTTTTAGCGGTGTGGAGCAACCATAGGAACGATGAGTTAGATGTATCTTTGTCACAATGCATTTTTGGGGGGTGCAATGTGTATATGCGTATGTTTATCTTGGTGTGTGTTTGCCCAATGAGGTGTTGTTGTTATTGTTTTTTGTTGTTTGGTGTTGTTGTTTGTTATTGTTGTTGTTGTTTGTTGTTGTTGTTGTTTTGTTGTTGTTGTTATCGTTGTTGTCGTTGTTGTTTGTTGTTGTTGTTTTGATGCACGCGTTTTTAGGCCCTCGTGGACACACTATAAATTAATAAGCAGGACGGGTGTTTCCAACGCTGCTTGTCAAGGCCAATCTGAGCTGAGATAAATACGTTCTTGCAGAAAGACCGAGAAAATACAAATTTGTCCCAACTTGGGAATTGAATAGAGTCCTCATAAAAGCGCCTAACTGCTACACCACACGTCAATGCCCAGTGAGTGAGTGCTTGCAAGACGTATGTAATAGCCCACAAGAACAAGTTATGAAAATAAAGGGCTAATTTTGTCTGCTTGTTTGTTTGTTTATTCATCTGTTTGTTCTCTTGTTTGTATGTTGGAAGTTTTTTTATTAGGTTTTTTGTTTGAGTCTATTCGTAAGTAAACCGAAGTATACCATACAGTCATGTATTACGGAGGAGAAGCGTCAAGATAGACACACCTAAACAACAGACGGAAAGAAAAGAAATACGACTTCAAATAAATGGACAGTCGACTCATCGAGCTGATGGATGGAAACACACCGAAAGATTCCATGTCGTCTCTGAGTATGTAGGTCATAGGGAGGAGCTTCAACAACTGGATTAATGTATTGTAGAGTTTGCTTCTCCAGGGTCCCAAAGCATGTTATACAGATCAAGAAAGAGCACAAAAGCCATTGAATTAATCCGTTAAGGAGAAACTCGTTTTCACCAACGGTTGGTTTACCTTAAGCCCATGTCTCTTTGTGCGCGGCGTGATGAATCGCGAGGTTTGGGTCGCGTGCGACAAAAGCGACAAAACTTTCTCCTTATGGGCGACGCGACTTTTAGCCGTGCGCACCTGTCTAACCCCTCGCGGGCTGGCAATTCACAGAAGAGAGATAGTGGAAAATTTGAATGTCAAGATGGACAAGGAAGTACAAAGTCAGTCAAATGGGAGTTCTACGAGCCGCTGACATATTTTGATTCCGTACATGGCCAACTCCGTGTAAATCCTCCTCCTCTTCCTCTTCTTCCTCCTCCTTCTCCTCCTCCTCCTCCTCCTCCTCCTCTACTTTTCTTCCTCTTCCTGCTTTAAAAAACAACAACAACACAATTAGATTCACAAAATTTGCATTAGGTCGAATTGAAGATGACACCCCCTCCCCCTTCCACATACACACACACAAACGCACACAGCACACCACAGCACAGCACAGCACACCACATCACACTATATACGGTGTGTCGACTGGCATTCCCAGGATAGGAGGTGTTTTGACCAATTATTGTGATGCTCTAATCCTGTCACACCCCCAGTCTGTCGCACGCAACGAAACCTTTGATCTATGGACCGGTCGCAGGCGACAATCACGCTCGAGCAAACTCGCGTCGCGTATAAGGAGACAGTTTCATGATTGATTTTAGACCGGCAAGGACCACACGTGACGCGACCATACAAGTTTAGTGAATCTAAATTTGTTGTTTTGCTGATTTAATGCGAAACACCTCATAGAATTAATTAACAATACTAAGAAAGACTACGTAAGGAAAGAAATTGCCCGGAATTTAACAGGGATTAAAACGGTTAAAGAACAATATGTATGTTCACACATGCGTTTCATATTTGGTGAGATTTGCTGCTAAACCTGATAATATTCTTTGAAGCTGCATCTTGTTACATAATTTCCCTCCTGTTATCATTTTTCCTTCCTGTTACCCCACTTTTTGTACCCCTGACCTAGTCCCAGATCTTGAGTGGTCTGTGCTGGATGACCGTACGGACCATTTCCCAATTCTCCTAAAAAACAATAGCCTCCAAAACGACCCGATCCCAGAACGCTTCAACTTTTAAAA